ATATATATATATATATGTTTAACACTAGAAATTATAAAAGGAGATAATAAAATAATCGAGTAATATGTTATTAATTTAATTAACATTATTACAGGTAAGGACCACAATTATTGCAACGGTAAAGATATGAATGAATGAATGTATCGTGACATGTTGACCATTAAATATAATATACACGTCATTCAATCATCGTTGTAATTACGCGAGGTGGAAAAGGCGTATCATGAATTTGTCCGTTCGTAAATCGTACGAACGCTTGTAATTAATGGCGACGCGATAAAGAGATAAATACACGCAGTCTCTAAATCTTCCATCATGAAGGGAATAAATTTGGTAAATAATCCTATACCGTCATCAAAGCTTTTATGCGCTTAACGTTTAATTCAATTTTCTTTTACGTAACATATTATTACAATATTTACCTCTCTCGCATACATTGGAGGTTATAAATAAATTCTACTAAAATAATTATTTTAATCGTTTGCGATCGAAAATGTTATAATAACGTAACTTTAAATTTGTTGTTCAGAGCATAAATTACACTCATAAACATATGTGCATTTAATAATAAACACGATATACAAATATCTATGTATATAATGAAAAATCCGATATAAAAAATTTTAATAATTAAAATGTAATTTCAAAAAAAAATTCATAATTTTGCTTTTTATTATTCATTAATTATAATTATATTACTGCTGTTTTATCAGCATTGAAATTATTTTAAACAAAAAACTTATAATTTAAATAACTAATTCAATTAACGTTCTCTCTCTCTCTCTCTCTCTCTCTCTCTCTCTCTCTCTCTCTCTCTCCACTTAATCAATTCAGTTATTTCCGACATTCGACAGTAAAAAAAAAACCTGCGCGCGCGATCGCATGTTTTCACAAAGAAAGATCTAATCGGAAGATTAACGTCTCCCAGATGAACAGAGCTTATTTACCTGTGATCTCTGAGATGATCCTGCCGTCGGAAGGCTTTGCCACATATGTCGCACGAATACGGCCGCTCGTCGGTATGCGTCCTCTCGTGGATCAACAGATTGTAGCTCTTCGTGAACTGCCGGCTGCAGAACTTACAAATAAACTGTTTCTTGGGTCTGGACGTACGGCAAGTCCTTGGTACACTCGAGTCCACCGTGATCGAAGCGTGTTGCGCGGACGAGGAGGAGGAAGACGAGGTGGACGAGGAGGTCGAGGAGCAACCCGAGGAAGTTGACGACGCGAAAGATGTTGGGACGGTCAAGGATCGTGAGACCGTCGTCACCGACGTGCTCGCGCGATTCCCTTCGGATATTCGTCGCAGGAGCAGCTCGTGATTCGCCGAGGAGGAGCTCGTTCCGGATGTCTCGCACAGCAGGACCTCGTCATCTTCCGCGAGAAGCGCCAGATCCTCCTCGGTGTCGGTCACAAAGTCCAGCCGTGCCTCGTCGTCCTCGCTGATTGCCGAAGCGGCTGATCGGAGCAGCTGATCGGCCGTCAGGTGGTCATTCTTGACAGCTGTCGGGCTCAGGGCCGCGTCGACATTCGCGTTCAATGACGAACACCTTTGATTACCAACGACGGTCGCGGTGGCGCTCGCGGTTTGCGCGACGCCGGAAGTCGCGCCGCTCGCATGAAGACGATGAAGCGTCAAGTACGTCTCCAGTGCCTGGAGATTGAAAGCCGCGGCGGCGGCGTGCCCCGGTGGCAGGAGCGCCGCTCGCTGCAGAGCCGAGAGGAGGGCACCCTGAAGCCGCAGGGCGACACTCTGGAGCGCTAAATTAGGTAATTCGGTGCCCGCAGCGAGACCGGTGACATCGGTCTCCTGTGAGTCTGCCATAACCGTGACCGATGAAGTCGACGGCGAGGACGAGGTGGACGGTACCATTACGAGGGCCCGTTGCTCCTGCTCCGGTTCCTGATGTTCCTCCTCCTGCTGCTGTTGCTGCTGCTGCTGCTGTTGCTGCTGTTGCATCCTCCACCGTCGTTCGAATCGTCCCGGATTAACCTCTGGAACGCGCGTCTGCCGTATTTCGCCGATATCATTGGCAAGGCGATCGGAAATTCCCAATTTGTCCTAACTTGATCCAGAGTAAGTATTGCAACGTGGATACGTGCCGGTATTCCTCCGGTATCCCGTATTGATTCCACCGGTTTTCCGTATTGATTGCACCCTTGCACGACGTTGCCGAACCCGGCCACGCGTTTACATAATTTTCGTCGATTGATTGTCAGTTCCCAAAACGATTGTTCCTGTAGGCACGGTGCTCGAACGCGAAAACGGGAAAGAGAATACACACACACGATGCTGGCGGTGCGAAGGCGCCCCGAAGACTGCTCTTACCTGACGCTGCTGGGTACTGCTGGTGGAGCCACCTGGTGGCAGGTATCCGAGTCAAAATGGGCCTGTCCGCGGGGAACGGGCCCCGGATTCAGGAGAGAGTGCCGTGCCACAGCTGGTCCGCGCGATTGCCGGCCCGCCGGTTTCGACGATACGAGACCGGCCGCATGATCTTAACGTGGGCCGCTGCGAGTTGCGACTTGCGTGCCGCAACGGCGAGCATACATTCGGGGACCACGCGCGCGCGCGTGTGTGCGAAGGATATCCGGAAACGTGAATCGCGATCGCTTTCGCGGGTCAACAGCTGTTTAACCCGCGAGTGTTCTCTTCGCGGAACGCGCGTCTTTCTTTGCATTACAAGGACAAATATGCAACGAATATTTTTATTTATGCAGCCGCACAGAAAAACGGTTATGTTAAAGTATTAAAAAATTTAGAATACAAAAAGAACTGAAAATCATTCTAGATCTTGAAAATAATTACGTACAATGCTTGAGCTTTGACGAATGCTGTAAAAGGTTTTAACGATCAGTTTGAGCGATCTACATAATCATTTTGATAGTTCAAACAAAATATTTTCGGATCTGCATAGATTCTCCAGCAAAATTGTTCTCCATGAATTACAGATGAAATTGTTACAAGGAAGAGTAAAGAAGAATATATATTAAAAATAACTCGTATAATAAAAGGTAATTGATTCACTAATACGTCCAATTCAGATACTAAATTTACAACTTTTGTCATATATAACGCTTGTAGGCATTACGATTTTGAAAACTATATATTTTTACATTGTATGTTATACTTCTTGTAATCCTTCAAATATATGTGTGCTTTTACATTATTAATTTATATATTCCAAATAAAATACGAAATCAGTTCTAAATAAAATTTTAATCGTTTTTTCAAACTTTAATCATTTCTAAACAAAAACGATTATGTCCTAAGTAAATAGTGTTACTTATAATGAGATTATATATGTAAAACAATCTAACGATTTTCAAAAATAATGTATTTTCTCGGAAAATAATTTTCCTTTATCAAATATTGATCAACATATATTTTATATAAAAACTAATTTATACATAATTAAAATTTATTTTTATATCGATTTAGTATTTATAAATATCAATCAGACCAATGTAAGTTTAATTTTAATAACGCGTCTTCTTTTACATACAAGAATAACGTTATGAATTCCAAGAATGTTATTAAATGTTTATGAAGGAAATCTGATAGACTGCCTCATGCATTTCGAAGATTTTCAACTCACTAAGGGCGAATACATATATACGGTCTATACATATATAGTAGGCTTGAGTTTTTAATATCTCAATAGACGTCGTGTGAAAATGAGGTAAAACTGAATAGTGATGCCGCGCCGAAAAAAAAGCATCTCTCCCGCGATACCGCGCCCGTGTGCCGCGGCTTCGTACCGACTCGACTCAACTCGGACTCTCGGCAAAGCCGCAACAATTTACGACGGCAATTAATGCGCGCGAGTAAGCCGTGTATAGCGCCTATAGTTAGCTGCCTCTTCAGTGTCGGAGCGCACCGAAAGCGAGGGAGAGAGACATTCCGTACACGCGCTCTTGTGCGCGCACATGAGACAAAAAAAGGGCGAGTAACCTGGCAAGAGAAGAAAAGAGAAAGAGAGAAAGGATGAGAGCGAGAGAGAGAGAGAGAGAGAAGGGGAGGGAGAGTACTATGGAGTACGATATAGAAGGAGAGGTCTCTCAAGGAAAGGCGAAAGAGAGACGATTGAAGTGGAAAAGGGTGCGGTAAAGAAAGGCGAGAGGAAAGAGAGGAAATGAGAGAGAGAGAGAGAGAGAGAGAGAGAGAAAGGTGCGCGGTCAAGAGAGAAGAGAGGCGAACCGAGGCATCGGGCAGACTAAATAATATTATAGGTGGTGTTCTCACGGTCCCGGGACGCCCGCGGGCCAACTCGTCACCCCTCTCCCCGTACGGCCCCTCTTCCTCGCCTTATTCTCTCCTCCTGTTCTCCCTGGCCGCCTCTTACTCCCCCGCGCGTAAGCTTCGCCCACGCTGGGCCCTCACGGAGGGCCCCACGGAGTCGTTTGAGTCCCGCCGGTGAGACGGAGAGGCTCCGACTGAACGATGCCGGACGCAGACGAGGACGCACGAAAGGGTCAGAGGTCACCTCGCGCTCGCTGACCGTCACCGTGGACGCGGTTCCTTCTCTCCTCTTCTCTCTCTCTCTCTCTCTCTCTCTCTCTCTCTCTCTCTCTCTCTGCTCCTCCCCCTCCTCTTTTTTCCTCCTCGACGTAGAGAGACGCCGAGGAGGGCCCCCGCACTCCTTTCTCCCTCCCCCCCCCCGCGCGTACGTCTTTTACTCCCCTTTCGTAACTTCGATGCCCTCGCGAGTCCGACTCCCCCCCCTCCCTCCCTCTGCCCCCTTTCCTTCTCTTCCCTCCCCTCCCCCTCCGCGTCTTCACGTCTTCTCGCTCTTCTCTCTTCTCGGTGAAGTCCTCCTCCGCGAAAGTTGACAGGCTCTACCCAGTTAATCAAGTAGCGAGTTAATTGCCCGGCTAGAACATAATACGCGCTCGCGATATACGCGGCACTTTATTTGGACATGCTGACATGTAACGCGCTGCTTTCCGAACGAAGTTCTATGTCAGATGATGCGGGACGTGTCACAACGATCCGCGCTCATATCTTACGTCGTTTCATTGTGTTTCCCCGTGTCACAACGTATTAACATGCGCGAGTCACAACGTAGTAATGTCAACGCACTCGAGATTGTACGTGCCTCCGATACGACGGGTATCAAGTGAAATTTTCACACGGCAAGTATAATATATTGTGTAAAACGACGAATATTTCATGCTTTGTCTCATTATTGCTATGAAACTTTATGTTCGAAATGTTGATCCTTGACGTTGTAATTTCCTTATAATTGCCATTTCACTTAATTACCAAGAGTCTTATGGCAGATATATTTATTGTAAAAATAATAAGGCTAAAAAGCGAGTAAAATTAAGATGTACGTTATTTTTAAATGTACCTTAATTTTCCTCGTTCTTGTTTATTGTTTTTGATATTACTTTACAAATATGAGTCGTTCTTTTTATTAAAGATATTATTACTGGATTATTCCTATATTTACAAAATCAAAAATTATTACGTTTTTATAGAGGTTAGAAAAAAACCTTATTTCTTATTATAGAAAAAAAATGCTTTTTTGAAACGGTTATTTGTGTGCATTGTTAGAGAAGAATAGTGTGCGTAGTTATTACATCCGCAGTCAAGCGTATTATTGCGAATAATTCGACAATGCTTAGAAACCATCAATCGATTTTATATGTCAGGAAATTTTCTCGTCTGTGCTCTTTAACTCCGGGAGGCAAAAGGTTGTATATGTAAGTGGCGTTCAACATCGATAAATAAAGTAACGCGGCGTGACATGAGAAATTCCTTGCGATCGGCGACCTGCGCTGAATCGAAAAGAAAGGGTCCGAATCACTGTCCTCCGGTCGATTCTAACATGCTTAACACACTTAACGATGACACGAGCGAGGCACGTGTACGCAAGCATTATAGAAAGTATTGTACTTTGAAAGAACGAGGCGAAACTTACGAAACTGACGGTGTTTGTATTTAATAGTAATATTATCTCTTCTTGAACATTACTTTTAACTCTTTTTCTCAAGCAATATTATTATACAATTGTATTTGTATATATTCGTACATAAAATAAAAATATTACTAACAATATATTGTAGATTAAACTGCGTCAAAACCGGCTTTGACCAAAAATGGCAGTATTCTCTCTTATTCGTGTGTTTAAATACTTTTCAATCTATTTCATTTAATATTCAATATTATTACATTCGTAATACTTGAAATAAAGTACGTTTCAAATTTACTTTATTAAGCGTGATGTAAATTAATTGTAATTAATATTTTGTGGGAAAATCACGAAATAGCAATTGGTCGTTTATATCTCTTTCCTCAGATATTTCATACTTGAATGACGTAACAATGAAGAAAGCAGTTTCAAATGTACCGTCTTAGAGGTTCTCTTCGGTTAGCAAGCACCATCCGCTGCCATTCAATTTGCTCTTGTTTCCTCAATGCGGTGAAGCGCAGAGGGAGGCCGCGACATCCCGCCGCGTAGATAATTAGATCGCTACTAAGCACCTCCACTTTCACGCATCTTCACCTCCGCGGTTGCGTACGGGGCACTTGTTTCTCTCCTTGTTTTCCGCCTCCTATCCCCCTTGGATACGAGTTCTCGCCCCGTTTGTTTCTCTTTGACTACATGCGCGTTCACGGCGTGATACAACCAGTCCCCCTTCGCCTCGACGTGATAAAGGAAAGCACGCATCGTTTCGTTTGACCACGTGATTGTAATGATTACCCCTTTCCCCATCTACCGTCTTCTCGCCCGTTTTAATCTCTCTTAAAAATACACACAATACTTGAAAGTACCTGCATAATATTCACATAATTTTGTTTGCGTCAATACAATTATTCGCGTTTATATAATTAATTGCATTTAAACCATCAGGGTTTTTTCAACCGGTAAAACACGATAAAAAGAAGCGAAGAAATTTTAAAAAATAATTAAAAAAGCGCGTAAGGAGGTGAGGTAATATTTCCAAAATTGTGAAAATTACCTAAATTATAAGCAATATTAAGAATCTTTATTTTAGACCGCATATGTGAGAAACGCAATCAATACTAGAAAAATGTCTGTTACGATCGAAGTTGGGTCTTTATTCCTTTAAAATAATTCAATCTGTTATTACTAATATACACTATATATGTACTTGCATATATACCATATTGTAGACTTTAAGAACCGCGCCGAATTGTTTTTCCGGACTATAAACGCAATGAAAACTACTCTAATAATCGCGAATCAAATTGACAAGCAATTTAATAATTTCACCTTGCTACCTAAATTATATTGTGTTCACTAACATTTTAAACAAAATGATATCGTCATTAA